AAAAAAAAAAATATATATATATATATATATATATATATATATATATATATATAACATAAAAAAAATTTTGGAAGAAAAAATGTAAAAGCTTTAATATACATTGCTATAATTGTACAAAAGAAAGATGTAAGCCTGAATGAATTTGATAAAAAAATACAGTAAATACAGTAATACTGTGAAATTACTATTGTTACAATTTAAAATAGAAATTGTAAAAAAAAAAAATAACTGTTTTCTGTTTTAATAGCTATTAAAATTTAATTTATTACTGATGTCAAATATTTTTTATTAGCCATTACTTCAGTAATCACATGATCCTTCAGAAATCATTCTAATATGCTAATTTGAAAACCATGATAATTTTTATTTCAGGATTCGTTTTTTGAATAGAAAGTAAAAAAAACAGCATTTATTTTAAATTGAAATTGTTTGTAACTCAATGATTGTTTTTACAGTCACTTTTGATCATATCGCTGAATAAATGTACTAAATGTAATAAATTCTGTTAATAAAATTCTGTTGACCTTTTACCCCAAAACTACTATACCAGACAGTCTTGTCCCAAACTCACCTTTGCACGTTAAACTGGCACAGAAGAACAGCTAAAACTCCTTTAAGGGAGCAGCAAGACAGAAGACTTTGTCCCATCAATAATGCACTGTCAAATTTGCATGTAAAGCGCCTTAACCAATCAGAGCTGGCGCTGGGCTGGTGGTGGGAGGTATTGTGTGATTGGCAGCTCTGGGGGGAATGTGTCTGTTTAAACCGAGGTCGTGCCGTGCGGCAGGGTGGCAGGGTTTCCCTTTAACAACAGGCATGAGCAGATGGGTCCTTACCCGCTGTCCCTGGGGCGGCTTTTACTTTCTCCTGTCTAATAAATCATCCTCTTCCGTCCAGCACATTATGCACAGGTATTTCATTGCTTTACTAACCCAGCACAGCATGTACAGCCAATCGAGCCAGTTTGAGATGATCTCGTTGATCATGAACACATGTTACAGACTGTAACTACCGAACTGAACCTCTTGAGCTCTTGAGATTGTTTAGAGACATTCATTTGCGGTTATAGGTTGTTATGTGATTAAAATGGGATGATGGCTGTCCTCCAGAGGTGAAAGAGTTTCTGAAATTGAGGAGCAATTTAATAAGTCAAGGGAACAAATTAAGTTTAATAGCCATCATTACATAGTCATTATTTTTACAATAATACATTTGTCATTTAAGGTAATTTCTTTTTCTTTTTGGTTTAGTTTAGCCTTGTTCTCTCTGAAAGATTCTTTTGACTGTTTTTCTATGAATTATCCATACCATTAACATTACAAATGTACTTGAAGTGTCATCCAAACTTGAGGAAATGATGCTGTCAAATGTGGCGAAAAACAGAATGCTGTGATTTATTTGATTCACATATACAGGCATCCTCACCACTGACTGCTGAGAGTTTAATTTATCGTATGGAGAAAATGGATTTATTCAGGAAAACAATTATTCATTTGAAGAGACTTGTTATGAAACAGAACAAATTGCTTGTGTAGATGGAACAAATTGTTGATTTTCAGAAATAGATAAATTGAATGGGGAGAAAATAAATGATGATTTTATATATATTTATATATATATTTCATTTAAAAAAATCTATGGAATTTCGCTAATGTTCAACAGGTTGTGGTCAGTAAGATTTTTTTTATCTGTTTTTGAAAGGTTTGAAAGTCTCTTATGTTAACGAAGGCTGCATTTATTTGATCAAAAAATACTGTAAAAACAGTAATCTTGTGGGATATTTTTACAATTAATAATAAGTGTTCTCTATTTGAATACATTTTAATGTATTTCTGTTAGGGATGCACCGATACCACTTTTTCCAGTACTCGCCAGATACCGATACTTTTATTTTTGGTACTTGCCAATACAGAGTACCGATACCAATATTTTTTTTGCATTTGTAATTTTTTTAAATATTGGGTACAGAAACCAAAAGAGCATGTATAATGTTAGTTGGTTAACTTCATTTATCAAATAGATACAGTCAAACCAAAATGTATTCAGACACCTTCAACATTTCTCACATTATCACAGTTTATTCGCTATAGTTTAGAAAATGGTAATAAAATATGACAAGAACTCAGAGTTAAACTGTGTCAGAACAAATTCATCTTGATAATGTTAGATAACTTTGATAGAAAGGTATGTAATAGACTACAATCAACCAAAAATTATTCAGACAGCTGTTAGTATGACAGTATTTACACAACTATCAATACTTTGTCGGGCAACCCTTAGCCTCAGTGACAGCCTGTAGTCTCCTGGGGATGCTGTCACCCAGCTTCATGCAAACCTCAACTTCAGTTTTTTTCCCAGACTCGAATCTGAATCATTTTTGGTCCCAAATTTGTATCAGTTTTACTGGTAGTGCACTGTATGAAGAAATTTTGGGTATAATTGGTCACAGTTTGCTTTATTTTGCTATCCTCACTTGCATAAATGAACTATAGTGTCCTGCACCCACTAGTAAAAAAAATATTACCGTTAGGTAACTTGTGCATTGTTTTACTTACTTGTTTTTTTCATATCTGACCGAACTACAAACTTTCCAGTGATGTCTGTGAGAAAGGTATATTCACTCGACAAGCTCGCGCATCTGCGCCGCTGCGTGCTCAATCTACTCAGCATGCTTTGTTTATCAGCTCGCGCACATCAGCTATACAGGCATTAATACTGAATGTTTAACGTTATATTCATTGCATACATATACTTCGTAGTAGACATCCTTAACTCCATTCTGCTGTCTGTTGTTCTGTTGTCAGTGTTTCTTTGTCTGAATATGGCGCTTATCACATGCTGTGTGGTATCGGCGTTTGGTATCGGGGCATTTTAATGAGTACGAGTACAGGAGCTCAGTATCGGGCCCGATACCGATACCAGTATCGGTATCGGTGCATCCCTAATTTCTGTGAAGGCAAAGCTGAATTTTCAGCATCATTACTCCAGTCTTCAGTGTCACTGATCACATGATCTTTCAGAAATCATTAATATGTTGATTTGCTTCTCAAAAAACATTTCCTATTATTATCAATGTTGAAAACAGTTGCACTGATTAATAGGTTTGTTGAAACTGTGATACTTTTTCAGGATTTATTTTGATGAATTGAGATTCCATCATTTATTTAAAATAGATTTTTTTCCCAACAATGTAAAATGTCTTTACTGTCACTTTTAATACATTTAATGCAGCCTTGCTGAATAAAAGTTTTTTTTAAAGACCCCCAAAATTTTCTTAATTTGAACAAGCTTTCATAACCTTGCTTTTTACTTTTAATTCATGTGCATGATAGGAATACTGTGAATACTGTTCATGACCGTAGTTCAACGTCTGCTTATAGAATATCATTTCATTTGAGATGCATACCTTGGAAAATGTTTCACAGATTTGATTTGCGTTAGACATTTCAATGCATGTTTATCAGCAGGTAAATCATGTATTTATGTAACCTTATATACAGCAGTGCAAACCGTTATTCACACATGCAAATCAAATATTAGCTGATACTTATTTCTTTAATTACAAAATGATTCATGTTCATTGATTGATTTTCATAGCAGTCACAAAGGCAAAACACTGTAATGCCTTAATTGAATCAGGTTTTAGGGCAGTCAGAATGTGAATTTTTCAGTAATAAATCATTTTGATCATGTTTATACCTTCAGTAGAATAGATATACTGAAGTTGTATACTATACTTTCTTTTTCAACACTTCTGCACTGTGCTTTGGGGCCCAGTCTTAATTTTGGTGGTCTTGGTGTGCCGCTGCGCCTGTGTGTGTGTGTGCATATGAGTGATGCTGTCACTCAGCAGGGGGTGACTGCTCTCTCTGACAGCCCTCCTCATGGGCCTGTTTGCCTGCCAACATCACGGCCCAATCTGACTTTCACATCTATTCTAGTTTTGCGCACACGCACAGACGTGGCACCGATATGAGCAATCCTGCCTCAGCTGTCGGACTGACATCTCTCTGGCTCTCTCTCCACAGGATGACTGTTCAGTGAGTAGTGAGGAGTTTGATATGAGTGACCCCACATGGATATCAGCTGAACGTCACGCTGCACCGTCTGACCTGAACCACCCCTCCAGCGCAGATAGGATGCACAGCCCGCAAAACACACACAAGGAAGAGGACGGTAAGAGACACAGTATGGTAATTTGCGTCTTAATAGAGGGTTTGAACCCTCTGATTACTCTAGAGTCTCAAATGAAATGCATGTGCACATGTTTTCAGCACAAGAAGTAATTTCCTTAATCAGTATTTTTCTCTTGTTTTCTGGTAATCAAATCTAAACATCCAAGCACAATGCACAGCCCGCAAAACACACACAAGGAAGAGGACGGTAAGAGGCACTGTATGCTCATCTGCGTTTTAATAGAGGGTTTGAACCCTCTAATTACTCTAGAGTCTCAAATGAAATGCATGTGCACATGTTTTCAGCACAAGAAGTAATTTCCTTAATCAGTATTTTTCTCTTGTTTTCCAGTAATCAAATCTAAACATCCTTATGCAATTTTCCTATATATATATATATATATATATATAGCAATAAGAAAAATACAGTGACAAACATTAAAAAGAAAATTTTTATATTTATATTGCGTATAGCTTTATACACTACTGTTCAAAGGTTTGGGGTCAGTATTTTTTGAAGGTTGCCTTATGCTCACCAAGGCTGGGTTTATTTTATTAATAATACTGTAAAACAAAATAATATTGTGAAATATTATTGCAATTTAAAATAACTTTTTTCGATTTGAATATATTTTAAAGTGTAATTTATTCCTGTGACGGCAAAGCTGAATTTTCAGCATCATTACTTCAGTCTTCAGTGTCACATGATCTTCAGAAATCCTTATAAAATGATGATTTGGAGCTCAAGAAACATTTCTTTTTATAATAAATGTTAAAAACAGTTGAGCTGCTAAATATTTTTGTGGAAACCATGATACTTTCTTCATGATCCTTTGATGAATTGAACTGAAAAAGAACTGAAATAGAAATCTGTTGTAACAATATTAATGTCTTTACTGTCACTTTTGATTAAATTTAATGAATTCCTTCTGAAAAACATTTTATTTCTTTCAAATTTTTTTTTACTGATCCCAAGTTTTTGAAAAAGAAAGAAAAATAATAACGTTTATTTTATATAGAAAATATATTTTAATAGAGATAAGGATGAAAATAAGGCAAAAAACCTGATAGGTTTATGGCAGTGGTGTTGAGAGAGAGAGAGAGAGAGTGTGTGTGTGTGTGTGTGTGCGCGCGCGCGCGTGCGCAAGTAAGTAGATGAACCATGTTCTTTTACACACACGTTTTTTTGAGAGTGGTGGAATGGCCTGAATGAAGCGAGAAGAGATGTAGGTATCGATTGTGATCGAGTGGCCTCCTTCCTGCTGCTTTCAAGGAAAGAGAAGTATCTGGACAAAGAGAAAGATTTATAGACAGATGAAGATGAGATAAGGAGGAAAAGAGCGAAGGAAAGAGCTCTAAAGATATAGAGTGGTGTGGATGTGTTTTTAGATGGTTAAAGGAAATAATTTATTCTAAATATATAATTTCAACTAAATAAATCATTATTTAGCTGAAAATTGTTTATTCATCATCACTTACTCACATTCATATCGTTATTCTCTTCCATGAAAAAAAATAGAGGTATTCTGGAGACTGTGCTGGTCTTTATTTTTCCAAGTTTCAATGAATGGGGACAGAGGCTTTATTATTGACTGAAAATACATCTGACAAAGCTGTCCTTGGCACGTTCCTGAGAGAAGTAATGATGTCTGTTGGAATTACGAACATTTGTTGTTTTAAGTCAGATCTTTTTTAACGTATTAGTTAATTTGCTTCCAAAACCATTCTGGAGGATTCATTTATAAATATCAGGCTGATCCAATTCTTAAGTTCTTGACTCTCAGACTCAATTCGGTGGTTTTATAAGTGAACGACTTTAAAAATATGGTCTGATTCTTACTCAGAGTTATCGTATGACTTCAGAAGAGTCATGTGAGACATATGAACTTCCTTAAGAGGCCTTTGCTCGTTTCTTTGAAGCGTGAAAGCTCGCAATTGAGCCTGAATAAATGAAGAATTAAAAGTTTTGGATGAGCTGCAGGGAGGTCAGAGCAAGCTTCTCCGGGACTTTAAAGTCAGTAGTTCCTCGCTGCGTTCTCCAGCAGCTTCTCTGTCTGTGGGTGACATTAGCAACCCAAAGAGCTCTGCGTTTAGATAATGATGAGAAAGCAGAGTGTTTTTTCCCTCCCTCCCTCCCTCTCTCTTCATCTATGGTAGAAGTATAGCTGTAATCTTTCTGTATTGAAGGCAATCTGAAATCTTTAATACAGAAAGCTGCTTTTGAAAAACATGCACGCAGTTTTCTTTTCAGATGCTTTTAATAAATATATATGCTGTATACAGATGTGGACACGCACCCACAGACGCAAACACTGTCCCATAGTGAAACTATCCCAGCACCCACCTTTTCTTGCTCCTTCAGCCATGACAAGTGAAGGATTTGACATACCCTCTATTTTGTAGTAGAATAATGCTGTAGTCCTTAAAGGGATAGTTCACCCAAAAATTAAAAATGTCATCATTTACATATTATTTACCATTGTGTTGTTCCAAAAGTGCAGGACTTACTTTCTTCTGTGGAACACAAAAAGAAAATATGTTGAAGAATGTTTTGGCCCAGTTGACTTTCATTATTTAGACATTTTTCAAAATATCATCTTTTGTGTTCTGCAGAAAAAAGAAGGTCATGCAGGTTTGGAATGGCAAGACAGCATTGTAATTGTTCAGTGAACTATAATAGATAAAGTATGCAATAATTTGAAATATTTTTTTTCTGTGCAGTTTTTGTATTTTTTTTCTGTACTGTATTTTACATGAGCCCACGTTTATTTATATAGCGCATTTCCCACACATTGGTGTGTTTAGTTTCACTTCAAATAAATTAGTTTAGGCTTGGTATTTATAATAAATGTTGATTAATAATGAATGCCACTGTAATTGTTTATTAATTCCTGTTCTGTTCTGAATACCATTAAATTTAAAGGAATTGGAGTGAGGAGAAATAAAATACATGATTATAGAATTTATAATGTTTTAAAATATATAAATTAAAAATAAGTTAGATTTTTTTGAGAGTGTAGAATACTGTATTGCATCTTGCAACAGCATCTCCATGATTTTAAACTACACCATGATGTAGCTCAAGTCATGAAATGTATAACTTGAATCCAATGAAAACTGCTTTGGATAAATGAGTCTACAAATGGCATAAATGTAAAACTTTAGGCCAGGCGTAGGCACAGCACTTTCTGAGGGCCATCAGCTGAGAAAGACCCCCTCAACCCCTTTATCAGCAGGACTCTGACAAGAATGTATAGATATGATGATGATGATGGAGGATGGGAGATGGAAAAAGAGATAAAAGAGAAAAAAGAGGTCAGGTAATCAAGACGGCTCTCTCCGACTGATTAGAGTTGCTCTTGAAAGTGAAATGCTCAGCCACAAAGAACAACCTTCGTCACCTCAAATTGATTTCAGATTGACTGAACATGAGGAGACACAGTCAAATGTGATCTTATGTATTTGCAGAAAGTTTCTTCTAGGAGAGGTGGCCATGTATTAGGTGTAGTCGTCTCTCTTTTTTTCTTTGTACCCATTTGGCCTCTTGTAAAAGTTAATCAGTGTCTAAATGCACAATTACTCCTGCTGCTTATCTCAACTCAGCTTGGCGGTGTACATGTAGTTTGTGAAGTGTAAGTTTCCCATTTACGTTTAGATGTTAGTCTAGTGGCTAAAAGAAGACTTTACTCAGTATGTTCATACAGAAAATGTCAAAACCTGCAGGTGTAACTGCTTCCTGACTACCTGAGTGTGTATAGGTGTTTCACGTCTGGTTTGTGTGTGATCAGGGATATGAAGTGTCAGTCTTGACACTGTGGCCGTGACCTTGGTGCAGTGACCTCCTGGTGCAAGAACCAGAGGCCAGACAGTAAAAAGAGAGGAAGAGAAGACAGTCGGGGGATGGTTGAGGTGTACATTGGGAACTGCAGGATGGAGAGAATTTACTTCACACCTCAGTATGAGGGAAAACACACATGTAGTGCTAAACATGCTGCTTGAGATAATGGAGCTCAGAGCAATGGAACCATGTTCTCCGAACAGATGCTGTCAAGGTCACGGTCTGCCCCAAAGCACCGCACTACCCCTGTACATCACTGCACCCCGTGATTGGCCTGGAAAGGTTCATCAGATCCCTGCTGTGGTGCATAATAAAGCTGAGCCACTGCATTAGACCTGCACTTTACTACTGCGTTATAGCCCTGCAGCGGTGAATTATGTGCCTTTACTAGTATTTAATAAATGTGAACAAGTGATTCATATCCTTACCTAGCTAGTGTGCATTAAAAAGGCATTATTAGTCAGAGCCATTGCCTCTTGTTTAGTGCAAATGCAGCAGACATGGTCATGTGGGAAATGCAAGTTCAATTTATCCTGCATTTTGTCTTGGATCTAAAAAAAAAAAAAAAAGTCCAGGTCATTTTTCACCTCAAATTGTATTATTATTATTATTCTTTCTTTTTTTTATTTAAACTTTACTCATTTGTTTTAGTTTAAAAATGAATAAAAAAAATAAGAATTATTTTAAATGTATTGATTTATTATTTTCAGAACAGTTCAGACTCCCCCAAATTTCCCCCTCGAAAATGTCATTATTCCAAATAATGATTTTCTTTTTTTTTTTCAGTAAAATGACCAAAATCCAATATATTTATATACTATTTAAAGGCAGGCAGGACGTTAAAAAAATCCCAATGTATTTGCAGAGAGAAAGAGACAACTTTGGTATAATAGGAATTGAATTGAATGGAAAAAAGTGCTTAATTGTCATGAAAATGTTTATGTTGTTGTTAATGTTATTTTCTTTTAACAAAATGTAATTTCTTATATTTTTTCCCTTTAAAATTGGGGTGAAACATGAACTTAAGCTTTGTTTATTTCATGCATTCACTGTCTCATTTACTAAAAAGTGTCAAAAATGAAAAATCTCTACATTAATGCATGATCAGGTCATAGTGCATCTTTGTGTGTAGCAACAGGTTTCTTGGATGTCATCAGGGGATGTGGTCATAAGCTGAAGCTCAGGAGAGCTGAAGCTTGAGTGATTCAGACCTGCTATTAGAGCTCCGATGGATTTGAATGACCTTTGTCATTACATGGGTGGATTTGTTTCAGCCCTAGTGGCAAAGTAACCCAAAGGACAAATGCAACCGCAGCCCAGAGCCTGTGCCGAGTGTGTGTAGTAGGGAAAGTAGGCCATGTGAAAATGACAGTGTGACTTTGACAGTGTGGCTTTCCCTCTGGAGGCTAGTGATAGAGGTCAAGTGTAAAAATAAATAATTAGATAAGCGTGTGAAGCTCCTACTTTTATTTAATGCTCAGCAAAGGTGTGATTATCCTAGGGGCTTTTAGACATGGATATCACAATATTGCACTTGTAGCCAACACTTAACCAGCACTCAGTGGTCCATGCTGATGCTATCAGCTTCATTTTGAACTCAGCTGTTTCCATCATTTGCCCAATTGTCAATGTGTGTATATTGCTGTTCAAACATTTGATAAAAAGTTTAAATTTTTTTGAAAGTCTCACCCAGGCCGCATTTCTTTAATCAAAAATTGTCAAAAACAGTAATATTGTACAATATTATTATATAAAAAAATGTAATGTTAATTCATTTTAAAATACAGTTTATTTATGTGATGGCAAAACCGAATTTTTAGCAGTCGCTACTCCTGTATTTAGTGTTACATGATCCTTCAGAAATCAGTCTAATATATTGATTTTCATCTTTTTTTTTTATTCCCAATGTTTAAAACGGTTTAATATTTTTATGAGAACCATGATACATTTTTCAGAATTCTTTGAAGTTCAAAAGAACACAATTTATTTGAAATAGAAATCTTTATAACGTTCTAAATGTATTTACTGACAATTTTGATCAATTTAATGCATCCTTGCAGAAAAAAACTTGCTGACCACAAATCTTTGAATGGTTGTGAATATATAAATAAAAATTAAAAAAATACATTATTATGGCTGGTAAAAATAGTTAGTTAGTAGTATTTAAAATTAGCTTAATTTAAAAACAATAAAAGTCTACAGAAGAAGTCTGAAGTTCCCATTTTGGTAGCTGAGTAGATGTGTGTGTGTGTGTGTGTGTGTGTGTGTGTGTGTGTGTACATGTCAACATGTGCGTGTCAACAGGAGATGTAGAACATCAGACACATGCTCTCACACATACAATACACACACATCGGCAGATCTGTCAGAGTTAAACACTGCATTGCCCCTCTCTTTACCTCTTCTCTCTTACACTAACCTCCCTTCATCATCACAGCTCCTGTCACCTCTTCTCCTCTCCTCATCTCTCTTCTTTTCACACCAGTGCTCTCTGTGTTCACAATATCTATCTCCCCATCCTTCAGACAGCAGACGTCTGTGATCTGCTCTGAACTGTCTCAGTGTTTACAGACAGACAGTTCAAAGATGCCCAACAACAACATCAGTAGCAGCAGGTACGGTCATCAAAAGCAGAACAAGTAGTTGATCCATGTTTTCCAGCTAGAAACCCTCTTACTGATGCTCGAATGGAAAATCTGAAGCCCTCCATCAGAGTTGAGTTCTTTGTGTTTGGTTGGTTCTGCGGTTTAGACCCAAAAGTACAATCTGAAAAGAGACTAGCTGGGTGAGGGGGTGGAATTGCTCTTAGGTTTGGACCAAGTAGTCCAATCGAGTGTGAAAACAGCCTTACCGCGCACTGTGTGTGACTCAGACAAGCAGCAGGCTGAAACATGACAGTGGATGCTTCACAAGAATAAGTGTTATGGTTGTCTAGTTGCTTTGTGAGAGAAGACGTTGATTATGTGCATGTGGGACTGAATTTCCAAAGAGCTCTTTTCTGAAGAGCCTAACACTTTTTCAGCGGCCTTGGTTCTGGAAGGATTTTTGCCATTCATTTCCCCAGTAGAAGTTTAAAAAGTACTTTTAATAAAAGTTCTTCAATAAAGAATTGAGCCCAACAAACCAGCTTTGGTATGAACATAGTCATTGTAGTTTAAAATTGTGTTATTTTAGTATTATTTACATACTATTATAGTATTAATGTTTTGAATGATCATTTTTAAAAATATTTTCAGCTTTAGTTTTATTTTGTTTGTAATTCTGTTGTGCTTTTGACATTTTTTTATTAGTTTTTAAGATTTTTGTCTTTTTTGGCTCATTTTTGGCAACATTTATGATTTAATTTATGAAGTTTTCCTATAAAATATTTATATTTTATTTTATCCCTAGTGAAAAAATATTTGAAATAAATTTATTTCATGCTAAGTATACTATAAATACATTTACATATTTATTAATATACTTAAAAATACTGTGCAATTATACTTTTAGTATACTAAACTGGTATACCTAAAGTCTGACAAATTGGAACAACTACTTTTGTACTTAATGAACTTGAAATGTGCAGAAGTAGTGCTGAGGTCCAACTAAAGATATACTGAAGTATTGTGCTAAAGTGGAACTATTGCAAGTGTACTTCAGGTATATATATACAGTGCCTTGCAAAAGTATTCATTTTCATATTCATTTTTTTTATGTTTTGTGAAAAGCTCACATTTATGTTGCAGCCTTATGTTAAACTGCTTTAAATTACTTTTTCCACATAAATCTGCACTCCATACACCATAATGACAAAGCAAAAACAGAACTGTCACAACTTTGTAAATTTATAAAAAATTAAAAAACTGAAATAAGTACATTGCATAAGTATTCAAACCCTTAACTCAGTACTTAGCTGAAGCACCTTTACAGCCTCAAGTATTTTTGGGTATGATGCGACAAGCTTTGCACATCAGCATTTGGCAATTATCTGCCATTCTTCTCCTCACCTCTTCACCTCTCAAGCTCTGACAGGTGGGATGGGGACAGATGCACATTTTCAGATTTCTCCAGAAATATTTGATTGGGTTCAAGCCCAGGCTCTAGCTAGGCCACTCAAGGACATTCACAGAGTTGTCTATAAGCCACTCTTGCTGTGTTTAGAGTCATTGTCCTTTTGGAAGGTGAATCTTCTGCCCAGTCTGAGGTTCTGAATTCTCTGGACTGGGTTTTCATTAACCTCAATTCCATGCATCATGTTTGAAGGGAACCAGCTCTGCTCATCACCTGCAGTGTACCATCCCAAAAGTAAAGTGTGCTGGTAGCAGCCTCATGCTGTGGGGCTGTTAATCAGACCAGAGAATCTTGTTTCTCACAGTCTGAGGGTCCTTTAGGTGCTTTTTATTCCAAGTGTATATATATATATATATATATATATATATATATTAGGGCCGTGCGATATTGAAGAAAAATGCGATATGCGATAACTCATTAAATAATTCGATATGCGATACGATAATGCTTAAAGTGCCACATGCTCAGATGAAAC